ACCATTTCATTAATTGTACAATAATATTTTGAAACAAATTTTAAATTTTCCCTTTGGTCTTTACTTTAAAATTGTGAATTCAGTGCCACAATACACAAAAAAAGTAACTATATAAACCTAAAGTTTCATGTGGCTACACAAATTTGAACTTAACTGGTTCTCAAACACCAGTTACTGCCTAGTTATAAGATATGCAGAACAAATACAAAAAGATAAGTAATAAAAGATACTTTTTTCACAGGACTAAGTTCAAAGTTTAAAAAGAAAAGAAATGTACTTACTTTAGAAAAGCAGCCATATTTCCTTTCAAAGACTCTGAAGCTCTTTCTAAATTTACTGATCTCGAACACACCTAGGAATTTGAGTAATGTTCATTCGACTATGAGTCCTTTAAAAAATGTTGATTATAATCTGAAAAGTTTACAGATAAAAACAACTGAATTTTCCTGTTTCAACCATATGCCAAAAACAGATTTGGTTAAGTAATTTAAGAGAAGAAATGAGACCCAGGAATAACAATCCATTATAAACAGGGAGTAGAATGTGACTATTTTAATAACTGCAGGTATTTATATGTATATGTATGTGTATGTGTGTGTGTGTAAATATATAGTGTGCTAATATACACACTACAGAGTTCTCTCGGAATTTATAAGTATGTTGCCAAATTATACAAAGTGACAAACTTTAGGAATCAGTAGCTCCTGTAAGAGATAGTTTTAAAGAATGATCAATAACTAAATTCCAATTAATATAGAACCAGTGGTTAAGAAGGCAACCAAGGTTTAAAAAATAGTGAAAACAAAGAATAACAGAAACTAATCACGGTAATATTAGTTATCTACTAATAATATTTTCATAACATTATTCTGAATTTATTCATCAAGTTAGGATTCCTCCCCATATAGTATTTACAAGCCAAAATAAAATATTAGTGTAAAAAATTGTCGAATATTCTTTACGTTGACACAAAGAAATATAAAATATTCAGATCCCTATACCAGCCAGCTGCCAAAAAAAAAAAAAAGAGTTCATAGCAGCATTATTCATAATAGCCAAAAAGTGAAAACAACCTGGAGTTCATCAACTGATGAATGGACACCTAAAATGTTGTATATCCATTCAATGGAATATTATTCTGCCATAAAAAGGAATGAAGTACTGATACATGCTACAACCTGAGTCTTGAAAACACTATGCTAAGTAAAAGCAGCTAGATACAAAAGACCATCCATTATATGCCTTCATTTATGTGAAAATTCCAGAATAGGCAAATCTATAGAGACAGAAAGATTATTAGTTGCCTGGGGCTGGGGATATTAAAGGAAAATGAAGGGTGACTTCTACTGGGGAAGAGGGTTTTTGGGGGAATGAAGAAATAAAGTGATGGTCGCACAACTCTAGAAATACACTAAAAGCCAATTGTATACTTTAAATGGGCAAATTGTATGGTATGTGAAATACATCTCGATGAAGCTGTTATAGAAAAAAGAAATAATAGTATTTTAAAAGTACCATGCTCAAATATACTATTTTCTGATTAATACAAAAACCGACAAGGATAAATCACATCTGAGCATCTTAGAGTATGTACAATGTACTTACATTCTAATAATTTTGCTCCACTCTATATTTAAATTTCTATTAAGTCTGCTGCCGTGTGTAAGATATCTTATTATGGTAAGTAATACCTGAGTCCCCTTTCATAACATATTATTTATTCACATACAGAGATGCATTGTATCCACGTCATAGAACAATGTAGGGAATATGTGTTACTTTCTAATAAGCAACTGTAACAGATCATGTGTTATGTGAATTTCACCTCAATTAAAATAGTTATTTAATTAAAAACATGAACTAGCAGACATCTCTATAGATGCTGTAAACATTAAAAAGATAGTAAATTTAAATATTAATAACCTTAAAAATTTAGATGAAGTGGACAAATTCTTAGAAAATAACTTCTTAAAACTAACTCAAGAAAAAAGAGAAAAACAGAATAGCTCTACTACAATCACTGATGAAACTGAAGTACGGCCAAAATCTTCCCACACAAAAAAATCTCCAGGCCCAGGCTTCAATGGTAAATTCTATCCAACACTGAAAGAAGCAATGACTCCTTTTTATAAAAACTCTTCTAGACAATAAAAAAGATACATGCCCCAAGTTATTTATGAGGCAAGCAGGACCTTGACACTAAAATCAAAGAAAAAATACATATGCATAAATCTCACACATGAATGTAAAAAAAAAAAAAAAATCATAAAATATTAGCAAATCAAATTCAGCTTTATTTTTAAAAGATCATAACCTAGCTGGGTTTATTCCCGAAATGCATAGTAATTTAACACTTGAAAATCAATTAATATACTTTCCTACATTAACAGATTAGAAGAGAAAAATTATGTGGTCATTTCAATAGACACAGAAAAAGCATTTAATAAAATCTAAAAGTCATTCAGGATTTCAAAAAAAGAACCCCTAGTGAACTGAAGATAAAAGGGAACTTCCTTAATCAGGTAAGAAATAGCTAACAGAATAATCTACAATTAACATCACTCTAAATGGAGAAATAGTGCAAGCTTTCCTTATGAGATTGGGAGTGAGACCAGGAGGTTACTGAATGCTATAGTGGAGGTCATAGTCAGCACATTAAGAACAAGACAAGTAAAAAATAAAAATTGAAAGTTAGAAAAAAAAAAAAATCAAAATGCATTATTCACAGGTAAAGACTGTGTATTTAGATAAACGAAAGATTTATTGATAAATTAGTAGAATCGCTAACAGTTTAGCAAAATTGTTGGAAACAAAATCGTTAGAAAGTTCAATTGTATCTCTATATCAATGCATAAACTATTTTCAAGTTCATATTTTAAAAACCTTAATAAAAAGACATTTAAGACATCTATGGAAAAATTATAAAGCTCTGAAGGACATTATAGAATGCCTAAACACATCAAGAGCCGTACCAGTTCAGACATTGGAGCATTCAATATTGTAAATTCTTCCCAAATTGGTTTTTAAATTTAATGTAATTCCAAACAAAACTCCAACAGGTTTACTTGTGAAACTTGACAATCTGAGTCTGTTTACACAGGAAAATGCAAAGGACAAATATAACCAACACAACCCTGAAAAACAAGATAGGAGGATTTGCTCTTGATGATATCACGACACAGGGATATTGAAGTATGAATAAACAAATTAAAAAGTGGTACGAAACAGAGAGCTCAGAAACAGACCCACACATTTATAGATACTTGGCATCCAACAGAGATGGCCCTAAAGATTGATGAAAAAAAGATGTACCTTTCAATAAATTTGTGCTGGAACAAAGAATAATCATATGCAGAAAAAAAAGATGTGTGATCCCCTACTTCACCTGATAACACAAAAATCAATTGTAGGTACAGACCTAAATGTAAAAGTAAGCTACACTCTAAAGCTTTTAGAAGATAAAACAGAAGACTATCTTCACAACCTCATGATTGTAAAAGCTTTCTTAAACAAGACAGACAAATTATTATCATAAAAGAAAAGATTAATAGATTTGATGATATTAAAATTAAGAGCTTTTGAAACAATATAAAGAAAATTAAAAGAGAAGTCAAACTCAGAGAAGACACCTGTAATATTTAAAATTGGTAAAAGAATATATAAAGAACTCCTACAAGAAAACTCCTTCAAAAAATTTAAAAAATAGACATTCTAATAGAAAAATGAGGCATAATGTTTAGAACAAGTACCTCAAAAGACAAAATCTATATAAGCAAAATCAACATGAGCAAAAAGCTGTTAAATCCCTTGGTAATAACGGAAATGGAAAATAAAACCTCAATGAGACACTATGATATAACCACTTCACAAGCAAATCTGACAATATCAAATGCTGGCATAGGATATTGATCGATGAGAATGCTCATGCATGCTGATGGTACAAATCACTCTGATATCAAAAAGTTAATGTTGCAGATATACTTTCCTTAGCGATATAACAGAGAGAAACTGGTACATGTGTACATGTAGATATATGTATAAGCATGTTCAAAGCAGTAAAAACTCTATAGTTTATACAACACAAATGTCCAGCATCATAAGCATGGATAAATAAATTGTGGCACAGTCCATATAATATTCTAACACGTTACGACAATGAAAAAAATCTTTACACACAACTTGAATTAATCTCACAAATATAATGCTTAGTGAAAGAAAACGAAGAATACATATCATGATTCCATTTATATGAAGTTCAACATAGGCAAAATAAAGAATACTTTTAGGATGCACAAAAAGGTGATAAGCTATACAAAATGAAGAAAAGCAAGGAACTGATTATCACAAAAGACAAGGCAGTGTTCACCTCAAGGGGAAGCAGAGGGGTTTGTAAAGAGCATAAGAAAGGCTTCTAGAGTGCTGGCAATGTTGTGTTTGGGAAATTAAGTGGTATTATTTGTGCTTTATGTACTTCTCTCAATGTCTATTACATGAAGACTGTTTAAGAGAAAGGCTGAGAAATCCAGTAGAAACACAGATTCTGCAGCTTACATGAGAGGCTAGAGGTGTGATTTGGGAGTTTTTATTAAACAGGTGATTGAACAGGTGACTGGAGCTTCAGATGAGAATAAAAAAGGACATAAGAATAAGTGAACCAAGGATAAAAGTCCAGTAAACAAAAACACTAAAAAGAGCAAAAGAGAAGTCAATGAAGGATGAAGGAGAACCCAATAAAGAGTAAAGAGGAAACCCGTAGGAGAACTAGAAACAAGCTTAGCAAATGACAAGGCAGAAGAGCGCAGTTTGTGGACAGTGTCAACTATCAGCTACAGAAAAGCAAGTCAGACAGAAAAGAGGACACTGGATTTAGCAATTAAGAGATCACTAGTAATTGTAAAGCAAAAATACAAATCAAAAGGGGAAATAAAGTCTTACCTTAAGAAGAAAGTCTATTTTCTCTTTATTAAGTCTAAGAAATAGCTGGTTCAATTGAACACTAATTGTTCTACCTTCCAATACATCACAGACTGTATTACAGGCACAGACTTTAAAACAGATTTCATCTAGAGCTTCATTTCTGTAGAATACAAAAGTAGATCCAATAAAGTTATTTTTATTATAAATGAAAGGTGTATATTACAAAACTAAGTTCACAAGAATGAGTCATTTATACTTGAGGTAAGATTTTAAGATATTCAAGCACATTAGTAAATATCGTACAACAAATTGGGGGAAAAAAGCAGACTAGTTTTTGAACTTATCAAGGAACAATTTAGTTACAGATTAGGCAACATAATGGAATTCTGCTATGTATAATTTTTCCCCTGAGCACTTTTATTTTTTTTATTATTTTTTTTAATTTCAAAAGAGATTTATTTATTTATTTATTTTTATTTTTATTTTGTCAATATACAATGTAGTTGATTATGTCCCATCACCGAAACCTCCCTCCCTCCTCCCTCCCACCCAAGTGTGTCCCCTCCATTTGCTTGTTGTAAGAACTTCAAAAAAAAAATAAATAAATAAATAATTGTGGTTGTTATATCTTCCTCTCCCCCCGCCCCCGGTTTTTTTTGTTGTTGTTGTTGTTGTTGTTATTGTTGTTTGTTTGTTTTTTTGTGTCAGGCAGAGAAAAAAAATACCACATGTTTTCACTTATTGGAGGGAGCTAAAGGTGAATGAAATCAATTCACACACATACACACACACACACACACACACACACACACACACTCTCTCTCTCTCTCTCACACACACACACAAAAAAACAAACAAACCCTGAGCACTTTTAAAACAAACTAGATGGCCAAACGTTAGAGTGGCTCCTCTGGCTATGTGAATTTCCTTTACATTAACAAAAGTGAAAGTAATGCCACAGATTCACAGGTAATTTGGAGGTGTATTTTTGATAAGCCAGACGGCACTTGCTCTTCTATTCAAAAAGTAATTTTTCAACTTACTTACTTTCCTCTGTTGAGCTTTCTGAAAGAGTTCTCTTAGTACTGATTGCCGGAACTGGACAGGTAAACAGAAGGTTAAGTTATGGTCAATGAAAATCTGTATTACCTCCTGGAACACATACATAAAATTGCATCCATTTCAAAAACCATGGCAAAGTTTCTTTCCTTTAAAAAAGTTTTTCTATAATGAAAAATATAAGTTGAGAAAATAAAAATATCTTACTAGGAAAAACCTCTTTCTAAAATTCTAAAATTAGGTTAAGGGTAAAAAAAGCCCTTCCCTTTTTTTTTAAAAAAAATTGAAAATCATGAACCAAAAATGAGAGGTGAGGGAGAAATCAATCAATGAGAGGCAATTCAGTTATGTTATTATATAAAGTTTAAAATATTCTCATCCACTTTAAACATGGGTTCATAAAACAAACTTTAAAAAATACTAAATTAATTAGAAATAATTCGGCTAGAAAAAAACATATGCTAACACTTCTAATAAAGGTAAATGGTTTAAAATATATTATTTAGTGAATTACAGAAAATACCTATATTATTACATACAGACTTTTTCTCAGCTTTTTCTCAAGCAATGGAAGAGGAGGAAAGAAGGGGAGATAGTGTGGAGAGACAGGGAAGAGGATTTCTGGAAACAGTTCAAGCTAATTGGCCGCTACCACAAAAGTACTTACAAAAGTGGCTTCAAAACTATAGAGAAACCACTGTCTCATCTCCATAGAAAAACATGAGCAACGTAGGGCTCCAAAGGAGCAAGACAGGCCACTTCCCAAGTGTGAGAAGACACATTGGTTACAGCTGTTCAACCACTGCTTGATCAGCAAAACAAAAACAAAAAACTATAGAGTTCATATAAAGAAAACCCTATTCAAATAAAAGGCTAAATATGATTTCCAAGATACTTCCACATATATTAATTACTAAAGTGATAAACTTCAGAGTTGCAACAAAATTGCTATTTTCCCCTTCCTCGCTACTCATTACACTATTTTCTGACTTACATATTTTGGTACTTTTAATATATTCACAGTAACACATGCCTGTCTATGGGTAATATTCTAAAGTTCTTGTCTGCACAAGTCTTGCCATTCTAGTGAGCTGCTTAAAGAATCTGTATCTCACCATAATTGATTCTGACCCTCTATAAGCTTCCCTGTACTAAGGAAATGTTTAACTAAAAGATCTCTAGTCTTTAATATATTCACCTGGATCTGTAGTTCATCTTCAAGAAAGTTTAGTTTCTTCCCTAGGGCAATGCAATATTTGAAAAATGGGTCAGGGAAAAGGGGAGAAAGTGCTATCTCCTCCCTCTTCATCTATATTCTGTGAAAAAAAGAAACTAGATGAGAAAAGTGAACTATAGAGCTCAGATAAAATCCAACTGGAGACATAAAACTAAAAGTAAGTTACAGCTTTGTCATTTCATGATTCCTGTTTTGAGTGAGATAACCTGAAGAAACTGTTCAGTCTTTAGAATAAAGGCTTTCCAAAAAGATTTTAAAAGCACAAATTCTAATTCCCAGTGATTTTCATTACAAAACTAAAGATAAGAATCCCAAACGGACAATAAAAATCTTACTAGACTAATTAAGCCTTTTTCATGAGTAAAACAGAAATGATGACTAGGCTCATGACAAAGACCATCCAACCTACCAAAACTGCTTTGCTCACTTTCTCCTTTGGTCTTAATATTTGCAGTGGCTAATAAAGCTGGGCTACAAGACCAAAATTTCAAAACAGACAAAAGACTTCCGGCTCTGTAAAACTAAAAGCTATCTACCTATAATTCTGAATGTTAAAAGAGTTCTGCTTAGAGAGTTTTTTACAGATTTATTTAAAATGGGCAACCTCCATACCTTCAAGAAAGGTTAATACCAGTAATAATGAACTAACATCTGAACAGTGCTTTGCCTTAGCACTTATAACCTATAACTTCTCACTTGATTTTCATAAGAATTTTATGAAATGGGATAATTATTACCACTATTTTATAGGCCAGTATAACACTTTTGAGAATACTTGTCCCAAATCACATAACTCGCAAATGGTTATGGCAGAATTTGAACCGAGTTTCATCTGGCTTCCAAAACTTTTCAACTACACCAGACACTCCATCACACATCTTACCTGATAGCTGCCAGATCCCAAACAAATATGGACTTGACTATATGGAGTCAATTGTTGAGATGTACTATCAGAAGAAGGTACAAGAATATCACATGCTTGACAATAGCCAGCTGACCACTTCTCATCTATGGTACAATGAAGAGATAATGAGCCTATCTGTAAAGCAAGAGGCATACACCATTATCCATTAATGTAATATAAACAGTAGTCTAGCACCCCTTAGCATATCTTAACAGTACACTTACTAATGAAAAATTCAAAATTAAAAGTTGGAAGAACCATAAAATAGAAAAAGTTAAAGATTTAGAGCAGTGGTCTGCTTTTGATTGTCCCTTAGACTATGAACAATTTTAGAGTTATAAACGATTTGAGGTGTTGTACAGGGAAAAAAAAAAAACAAATAAAAGTATGCAACAGAGACTGAATGTGGCCCATACAGCCTAAAATATTTACTATCTGATCCTTTATAAAGAAATTTGTCAACCCCTGATTTAGAGTTTTCAGGCCAACATACAGAAGGTGGACATTATTATCACTCTAAGTAGGTATGACAAATAACACATTAATGAAGAGTAAACACTGTTAAAAACAAGCTTAAACATTTTCAAGTACATATAACAGGCAAAGATTTAAAGGAGAAAGCAAAGAAAACTCAATGGGAAAGAACAGAAATGCTTCTACCAAAACAGAAGATTTTTTTTAAAAGGCAATTTGAAAAAAATAATGAAAGTTTTCAATTACCATACCTGAAATGCTATAAAATTAGAAATCTGATAAGTTTCCTAGGCAAAGTAAAATGGGGATTCCTAATGGGTCTAGAATAGATCTAAATTAAACCTCTAGGGCGTTTAATCAATTTCTCTACTGAGGTGAGGAAAGATTAAAGGGGGAATTTTTCCAGGCACCAGGAATATTTTTGTTATGTATTTTAATCAGTCATCTGAAATCATAAAAAGAAAAATGCAAATAATAAACACATAAAAACAGTTTGCCCTTAATAGGAATTAAGAAAGGCAAATTTATAAAAGATACCGTATTTCACCCATCAAATTAACAAAAAAAAAATTCTTTTTTTAAAACACTCACTGCTGATTGGAATACCCTGGGAGAAATGTACCTGGAAAGCAATTGGTTCTATAAATTATAGCCTTTAAAAAATTAATAACCACTGACACAATAATTCTTTTCAAGAAATTTAACTTGAAAGCCTCTAAAATCTGAAAAATTTATGCTTGGAGATATAAATATTGCAGCTTTATAATAAAGAGTAAAAATCCTAAATAAGTCTGGCTAGTTAGCTCAGTTGGTTAGAGCACAGTGCTGATAACACCAAGGTCCAGGGTTGAATCCCTATACCCACCACCTGCCAAAAAAAAAAAAAAAAAAAAACCCTGAATGACCAAACATAAGGAAATAAAGAAAATCAGAGCACATCCACATGATAAATGTAAATGCCTATTCAAAGATTTAAGCAATACAAAATAGTATATACAAGGGTATCTCAAAAACTTTATGGAAAAACTAAAAAAAGACAATACAAATCCTTCCATGAATTTTTGAAGACCCCTTGTACAATATGAACTTAACTGTATAAAAAGAAAAAGAAAAAAACTGGAAGAAAATACACTAAAATAGCCAGAGGGGTTATTTCCAGGCAGTAATATAGATTTTTTGAAACCAGTTTTTAGTATATTTTAACATCCCAAATTTACCACAATGAACACATTGTTTTTTATCATCAGAAACATTTAAGCCAAAAAACCTATACATGTGTTAAGGAACTGAATATTATGTGCCTATTATGACTGTATTTACCTCTGCAATTAGTTCTTTGGTTCTAAAAAATGTTTCTCTGGCATTTTCATAGACAGCTGAATTTGTGGAGCCTTGCTGGAAATATGCTGTACCCAAATCATAACACACCTGAAATAGTCATGAATACCAATTTGCTTAATAATTTTTCATGTACTTAAGAGCTGACAGAACTCAAAATTATCTTTATCTAAGGAAAACAAAGGAAAGAAATAGGAAGAAAACATTTCAATGAGCAATGCCATAATCAATGTTTAGTCACAATCAACAGAAACCAACTCTGACTGATTTTTAAGCAGAAAATTGACTTACTGATATGATTTTAGGTAACATACAGAATTACTGGGAAGGTGAATCAGGCTAGGAAAACAAAAGAGGCAAGGGAGAAGGCAAGCAGTCAGGACAAGAGCCAAAACTATTCTAGTGAAGATACAACTGCAGCCAATGTCAACACTAGACCTCACAGCTTAGATCCCCCACAGCCACCAACACTAGCTACTGAAAGAAGCAGCTACACTTCTCAAGCACTGCCCCTGGAAACTAGATTTTACTGCCATTGTTGCTGTTACCCACCACCTCAGTGCAGTCTCTATCTTACCCACTTCTTTGACTTCCTAGCTACTGATTAACAGACAACTAAGTGTTTCTGTCTGTCGAGCCCGTGACATGCCTGCCCTCAAGCAAGATAAGGCTAGAGAAAGCTAGTATTTGGAGTTTTTAGTTTCTATTACAGGAAGCATGCTCTGCCTCCTACCAAGTCTCAAAAGGTAGTGAATTCTTCTAATTTAGGAGAACCGATGCTGGAGAGCCCCTCAAAAGGGGAGGGGGCACAAATGTCTATCATAATAGATTGGCTAGAGTAAATTGAAAAATTAAAATTAATGACTATAAAATAATACTCTTCCAGTTGTCTTTTTCTAATGGTAGAATTTCTATATTTTTCCAAGAACTTTCTTAGATTGATGCCCAGTTTCACCAAGTACAGAACTCAAAGAAGATTCAGATTTATTTCAACTTGGCCATTTCATGGACAAGAATACTAAGGCCCAGAAGTGACAAGAAAAGCATATAATCAAGTAGTGACAGAGTCCAGGCATTAACCCAGATCCCTAGGCTCCTAATACTGCCTCAAGTTTATTCTGCACATAGCTGACAGATCAGACTTCTTCATCTGACTTACTTAAAAAGTCCTCAATTATTTCCCAAACTAAGACAAAATTCAAGCTCCTTGGCCTAATCTTTAAGGATCTTAGAATCTGGATTAACTTCTCTCTCCAAATCCCTCTACTGTCCTCTATTTTAATCACATAAGTCTTCTCAATTCCCCATTCATATCAGTTCCTAGAAATGAACTTCATTCCACACCCCGTATCTCCATTTGTACCAAACCAACCTTAGCCAACAGACACTTATTCCTCTGCCAAATTCAAATGTCTGATACTCATTATGGAACCTCTCTTTATTGATATGCTTTATAGATACAGTTCTAGTCTCCTCAGCCTCTACAACACTGCTAAGCACTATTGAATCCACATCAAATGTGTGGCTAATTTTCATTCTAGAGAGCTCCTCCCATCTGGAGTGAAGGGGTGCTACAGCAGTAAAAAATAAATACACATACCTATATACATATATATATACACACACACACATACACAAACACACGCACACATATACATACTATAGTTATAAATAATTTCCCTTTCCAGGCAAAGAGTATAAAATATCAAAAAGATATTTTCAAGTATTAAAATGAGTTTTAATTCTGTAGATAAGAGGTGTTCCACAGATTTAAAAAAAAAAAAAAAAAACTGATAATGAAGCTGCCCTGAAGGTCAGCACTTGGTTTACTGGGAAAAAAATTAAAAATTTTTCTTTTGAATTTTAGGTAAACTTTAGTAATGTAAAGAACATACTTTAAGAGCCGGCCTGTGGCTCACTCAGGACAGTGTGGTGCTGATAACACCAAGACCAAGGGTTTGGATCCCTATATAGGGATGGCCGGTTAGCTCACTTGGGAGAAAAAGAAAAAAAGAACATACTTTAAATATTATCATGCCAAGAAATGAGTATTACCATTAATTTGCAATTCAAAAACAGAAATTGAGACTCAGCTATGTAATTAAAAGAATATTTGATAAAGTTTACCTTGCACCCTTAGGTGTTTCATAGGAATTTCGTTTTGTTTTTCAAGTTATATCATCCAACATATTGTGAAAATCAGAAGTGCTACAAAAACTTTTAAACAGACTCTGAAAGATTATGAAATACTAGAGTCCAGAAACCCTCCTATATATGCAAGTTTCATTAATTATTTTATTTTATTTTATTTTATTTTTTCCTTTTTGTCTTTTTTCGTGTCCGGCAACGGATCGCAACCCTCAGTGTCGCGCCCGTACCGGACCGGGACTGGCAACGGGATCGCAACCCTCGGTGTTGCGGCCACACCTCGCTCAGCCAGTGAGCGAGAACCGGTCTGTATGTGGGATCTGAACCCTCGGCGGGAGCGCCGCCATGCTCCCAAGCGGCGCACTGTAGCAGTGCGCCACCGGGCCAGCCCCTCATTAATTATTTTAAAAGGTTACCAAGTATTAATACTTCACTCCTACTCCTACTGTAAACTCCATCTCATGGGGTCTTGAAAAAAATGATTCAGCTCTATAACCAGTTAATTTGAAAAGGCACCTTCCCAACTCTGTCATAACTATTTCTGCCCCTTTCCAGAAAAGGAAGTAGTGATGAAAGAAGCCAGCCCAACTCATACAATAAGGAATGAGAACATAGTTTACAAGGCACTAACCTAGTGCCTAGGATATCATCAAATATTTTGAAATTTCTATTATACTCAAGGCTCTGTGCTAGAAAGTAAGATTCAGAAAACATAAAAAAGAGACCTCAAAAACTTAACAATCTGTCAGGGAAAAAGAAGACATGAACACATAAAATAGCATCTGGCAATAAACATCAACTGAAAGCTGTCAAAGGATCTAGGGCCCAGAATTAGAGAAAGGAGACCAACTTAAGGTCCTTGAAAGGGTAGATATTTTCTCTTGTGGCCTAGATTTTTCAAAGTCTAGCACAATGTCAATAGGTTTTTTTTTTTTTTTGGTCTAATTTTTAATAATATGAATAACTGCAAATCAGTGATACAAGTATACTCACTGAATTCTCAGTATTTAAACAGTCTACCAAATACAACTGGGAAACTCTTTCAGAAACAATACATCATATGAAATTTCCCTTCCATTTCTTCAGAAAAATTTCAAATAATGTCTTATAAAGTTTACAAATACAATGCAAACAAAGTTTTAATCTCTTAATCAAAATCAAAAGACAAAGGCAGAAATAAACTCTAATTAAAAATACTAGGATGACCTCACGCAAAATTTTCAAAAAAATTGTCGTACAGTAATTAAATACTGAAATAAATACCTGGCACTGCATTTCATCAGTTTTGATTTTCAATCCAGCAGTAGAACTCTCAGCTTCTCCATTTACCATGCCTGGTTACATGGCCAATAAATCTAGAGTTCTTATCATGTAGACATAAAGATCCTTGTTTAATTTTAGAGCTGCCTCCAGTACCAAAATAGAATCAGCAGCTTATTCTTTTAGCTACAAAAATTCAATAAGCAAATTAACATACAAAAATAGCAACCGATTATACTAAGCAAAAATATCTACAGGATACTTAGTATTCTGAATAGTTAAAAAAATTTTTAGGGTCTGGGCAGCCACGCCCCCAGCGGTGGCAGTGGCAGCGGCAGCAGCGGGGGAAGCAGCAGAGGCAGTAGCGAAGGAACCGGCAGCAGTGGAGCCGTGGCAGCAGCAGCAGCAGGGGAAGCGGCAGCGGCAGCAGTGGAGGAACCGCAGCAGTGGTGCCAATGGCAGCGGCGGCAGCAGCAGCGGCCCCTCGACAGCAGTGGCAGCGGGGGAAGTGGCACTGGCAGGAGCGGCGGCAGCGGCAGTAGTGGTGCCC